CTTTAGTAAGACTATCCCTACTATAATGGAGTAGGTAGTCCTTACTTTGGATGTTAAGGGACATGTGAGGGACAATTTGACTTTGAAGGCCATTGTGGGGTGTAATAAGCAAACTGGAGGGACTATCATCATTTTTCGAAAGGGACTCGATTCGTAAAGGCAACCATAAGGGACTTTGATGATTTTCTTTTTGAGGGACTTGCTTTATACACCCCACTTAACCAATATTCATAGGCAACTTGAGGGATATCCTTAGGAAGTGAGACGGCGATTAAAATCGACTTACGTGTGTGACGTGTTTATTTTAATTATCTTTATTTAAAAGTGATCTAAATTTATTTTAATATTACATACATGTTGTTACACTCCCTAATTACTAACCATAATAATAATTAAATAATTAAACAACTTTACATCCAAGAAACAATTACAAAATAATAAGCAAAATAATTAAATAGCAAAGATAAATAAAATATAAATAAGCAATAATAAATAATAAAGGGGGTTAATTCTAAGTTTACTCGGCAAGACATCGCATCTTGTGCCTACGTATCCTTACGGGAGTGGAATCAGAGTAATCGTAGTTCCCCTCAATAGGGAGGTTAGAAACTTCTTGACTGTGGTCAAGGTCTCAAGGGGAATAAACGCATCTTAAGGACACGCTTACGTGGAGTGTAGAAACTCCAAATCTCTACGTTGAAATGTTAAGTTGTAATTAGGGTTAAATTAGGGATTCCACGGCGGGAAACCCTAAAATGAGCGCGGCGGCTCTTTGACCTAATGCTAAGGGTAAAATTGTAATTTTGCCTGCGGCGAGGCATTTGTGAAAATTAGGGTTTGTAGTTTGTAGTTTTGAGGATTTGAAATTGAATGTGTGAAGTTTTACGGACTATTGGCGCGGCGGCCAAACAGTTAGACCTAACCTTCGGATGTGTGCAATGTGACAGAAATAATAATAAACGCGTGAGATAATTGAATCATGCAAACAGAGAGATAATGTCATAATTTAAACCATGCAAGCAGAAATTTAAAGGCAGAATTTAAAGAGCGATTGTTAAGTTCGCGAGGTTACATGAGAGGAGCAGATACAATATGATAATGAAATTTGAATTGAACAATAATAAAATAAAATAAATAACGGTTCTAGTTATTATTTTAAAAAAAAGATTTTAGTTATTATTTTAAATTTATCTAAAAAAAAGTTTTTTCTTAAAAATAATAGGTTTTCATATTAATTTGGAAAAGATGTTAATGTTATTTATTTTAAAAAACAGATTTTTATATTATAACAAATTTTAATAAATTAATGATAACAATAATAATAATAATGGTAATAATAATGATAATAATGATAATAATAATAAATAATGATAATAATAATAATAATAATAATAATAATAATAATAATAATAATAAAGCAATAATGAATTTTAAATGTGCCAAATAACCCAACAATGTTGCTAACGCAGAAATGCGCTCATCGCAACCAGATCTAAATCGGACGAAACAAAATTTATCGCAAAGAAAAAGAAATTAAGCAAACAATAGTATTATTGCTCACACAAAAATGCGATCATCGCAACCAGATCGAACTAACACAAATGTCACGCGTCATGCACACAAATGTGCAAACATCGTATCGACATAATTCGATCAAAAATCTTATATATATATATAAACTCTAACAATTTAAAAATTATATATATATAAACGTAACAGTAATAGATAAAGAAAAGGAAATAACGGTAATAGATGAAGAAAAAGAAATAACGGTAAAAGATGAAGAAAAAGAAACAACAGTAATAGATGAAGGAAAAGAAATAACGGTAAACGATGAAGAAAAAGAAACAATAGTAATGGATGAAGAAGAAAACTAAATAACGGCAAACGGCACTCACTCCTCTTAGGTTTTTTTCCTTCTCTCCCTTTTTTCCAACAAGGCAACACATGTATATATAGGGAACAAATTAGGGTTAACACCAAATTGTCAATAATGTCCCTAAAGCCCATTTTAAAGCCCAAACTAAATAATTAGTTAAGAAAAAATAAAATTTAAATAATTTAAAATAATTAAAATAAACTTAAAATAAAAACTAATAATCCTATTGATTCCTAAAATAAAAAATATTATAAAAAGAACAAAATTTTTTTCAATATTTTTTATTTTATGATTTTTTGGATATTTTTATGAATAATTTAGAAAAAAGTGAAAAAAATAATATTTTAAAAAAATGATTTAATTAAAATACGAAAATAATAATTAAATAATAATAAAAAACTATTTTTGTTATTTTTTTAATGAAAGATAGAAAAATTTAGAGTAAAAATAATAAAAAACAAAAAAAAGTGACAAAGGTGAGATTTGAACTCTCAACCTCTCACACTCATAACTCCTTACACATGTCCTCCTGCCAATTGTGCCATTTTTACTTTTTAGAAAAAAAATGCATGCCATATGATATTTACCTGCAAAAAGTCAAACGACTACACAAATTTGTTAGTAATTGATTAAATGCAATGAAATGCGACGACAAATCTTAGGGCAAAATTTGGGGTATTACAGTTATTATGATAATATTTCTCACCCAACCTCTCTTTGATGTTGGCAAAAAAAATCATGAAGTTTGACTTTGGTTTGACCACAGTTGACCTCAGTTTGACCTTTTAACTGCATTGACTGCTTTTGACTTATCTGATCATCTGACTGAGCAAACTTTTGAGAAAAGTCTTGAAACTTGACATGGGGGTTCTTATACACATATAAGATGTTATGAAGCTCACTTGAAGTCTTGGAAGTCCATTTAGCCTGATTAAAGTCAAAACCCTAGTTTTGGATGCACTGCTTAGGAGGTGCATTGTCTGAGGGAATTGTCAACTCTTCTGACCAATTGTGAATTTTGTGAACCTTGTGAACCTTCTTGGAACACAAAGTCTTGTATTGTGAGGGCAAATTTTGGGGTGCAACAGTAGGCATAAGATGCGATATGTTATCGAGTATACTTAGAAATAAACCCCTAGGTCTTACAACATTTAAGCAGATAAACCTTAGCAATAAACAAACATAAAACAAGAGGTTCCTGTAGAGTACTACAGAAATTTAGGATGCTAACACCTTCCCTAAGTTTAACCGACCCCCGAACCTAAAACTCTCTAAACCTTGCATTTGCATTACATTGTGGGAATTTCGATCTTTATCCCTTCCTTTGGACAAAATCAAAGTTCGGTTGCAAATGAATAAGATTCAAACTAACTAATAGTTTGTTATCCAAATTTCACCGCGACAATCATGTACTAGTAGGCTTAAATCCGAATTGGTTAGTAACATGAGTCTTCGGCGGAGGAATCGTGGAGTTGGGGCAATTTAGGTCTTTTGGAAAAGGATCGGGGCAGGTGGTCTTGTGGCATTAAGAAGGTTGAGACTTTGTTGGATCTTCACAAGGGTAAAGAGGATGAAGTACTTTGGCCAAAGGAGAAATCTGATGTTTTCTTTGTGAGGTCCTATTACTCTTCCATTGTTGAAGTTAGTAGCTCAGTTAACATTTTTCTGGTGTTGGAAAAGGCATGCAGTTTACTTTGGTCCACTCAAGTCCCAATAAAGATAAAGGTTTTTGGTTGGAGAACCTTTTTGAATAGGCTATCCAACAGAGATAATCTTATCTCTATAGGGATTATTAGCTCTATCCACGATCTCCCTTGCGTTTTCTTTTTTCTTTCTGATGAAAATATGCAACACCTTTTCTTTGAATGTGGAGCAACTATCTAGGTTTGGTTTGCCATCAATAAGTGGATTGGATTCACTATGATGAAAGGGAAAAATTTATTCTATTGCTTTTTGTCGGGCTATATTAATTTAGGAAAGAAAGTAAAGAAGAACAGAAAATGTATCATTTGGTGGGCTGTCTTATGGAGTCTTTGGAAGCAAAGAAATGAAATCCTCTTCAATGGTTAGATATTTAACATTAGCGATATTGCTTGCTCTATAAAATATTATTACTGGAGATGGTCATTAATAGGAGATATGTCTCATTTCAACTTTAATTTCTATGATTTTTGTTCTGATCCTTTAAGTTGTTTGTCATAATTTAGTTGGATTGACATTTCTTCTTATATTTTGAGTTTGAATATGTACTCTTCTAATGAAATTATTTGCTTGAAAAAAAAAACCTTTTAAAGAAAAATATATGGGTTGAATTTACTTCTTCTTTCTCGGTTATGAATAATGTCCTTTTACTTTTAATAACTCCAACAAAGAAGATAAACTCCCCCTTTTTTTTTTTGGTAATAATAAATTGATGCAATTTAAACCACTTTCATTTTCTTATGCCCTACGATTAAAACTCTTTTGTCGTATTTTAATTTAAAAAAGACATTGTTGATTTCAAACCCATCAAAATATATAATAAAAGTTCTCTCCTTTTAATGATTTTCTAGACTAACATAATCCTTTTAAAAGTTCTCTCTTTTGTCTATTTAAGAGATAGTTTTAGAAACATTATTGAAAGTCATATACTAAATGACTTACATAATCATTTGATAATTATGATAACCCCTTAACTTATTCTTTGCAGATGTTTACCTTTTAAGTAGTCATAGGTTATAGTTGGATGAAATTTGAAAAACACAAAAATAATTTTTTCTTCTAAAAAAACAATACTTAATAGGAAAAAAAATAGACAACACACAACAACAAGAACACTAGAAACAAGCAAACTAATTTTATCTTAGTTGACGTAGTCCTGTCATGCATGCAACCTAGTTATTTATGTCTATACATAAACGTAAAGAAAGGCCATTCACTTAGTGTTTTAACAACCAAACCTTTCTTCTTTTACTCATATAAAGAAAAAAAATGAGTGGTGTGTAGTAGATTCTATAGAGTAACTATCGAGAAAACAATTCACAATGTTATTGATTTTCTAGTTTCATTATACTTTTGTTTTGTTGTTTTCTTGTTTAAATCTTTTACTTCTTAGAGAAAAAGAAGAACAAGAATAACGAATATGGCAGCGATTGATTTCGAGGAACGAGGACACTCGTTTGCAAGAGCATCAAATGCAGAATGGGTGGAAGAAGACGAAGAAGATCTTCAAATGTATGCACTCTTAAGGTTGCCTACGACGAAGCGCATGAATTTGGCATTGATGAGGAAACCATCTTCGGAGTTTAATGATTCGTCACTTTCAAAATCCAAGAAAAATAGAATGGAACAAATTGATGTAAGAAAGCTGAATCGCATTTATCGTGAACATCTTGTTAAGGATGCTTTGGCTACCAATGAACAAGATAATTATAAGCTTCTTTCCGCCATCAAAGAACGATTCAAGAGGTAAGTTATTCCATTTTTTTATCAAGTAGTCTCTGCGTAATTATCAACTGAACTGACTTAACGTTTGTGTGGTTGAATACAAAAGGGTTGGCTTGGAAGTGCCTAGCATTGAAGTAAAATTCAGAAACTTGAAAATTGAAGCTAATGTTAAAGTTGGGACAAGAGCTCTACCAACTTTGATCAATTACTCAAGAGATTGTCTTGAGGTGTGATTTTCATTTGTTAATGAATTTGTATGTTTTCAATCCTCGTGAACTTGGTTAGTAGTTATTATTTCACTGCTTCATGATAGTGTTATCATTTCAGGGTTGTGTAACTTGCTTGGGGATAAGTAAACCTAAGAGACATTCTTTGACAATCTTAAATGATATCAATGGTGTTATCAAACCTGGAAGGTAATGCTTTTTCTCTTTATTCATGGAAGCTTTTTAATGATTGTTGGATCATTTGCATGTGTGTTGAAAATTATATTACTATATCAACATTTTTCTTTAACCCATGGCTGAGTCCGGCCCAAAGTAACAACTAGTATGTTATCAATGTGCTTCTTTGTGGAGTTTTTTTCTGTATATTTTTCTATGAAGTTCTTTGATGATAGAAAAATGCGACACTTTCACGTTTCATGTTTGTTAAGTTAATTGATTGGTATCTAACTTAAAGTAATGTATGTGCTGTTCCATAGGATGACATTGTTATTAGGCCCTCCAGGATCTGGCAAAACTACTTTGCTTTTGGCTCTTGCTGGAAAACTTGATAAAGAACTCAAGGTAACTGCATATTCTATGCATGAGCTTCAAAGCAGAATTGTATTAAACCTTTTGATTGTGTAATGTTTTTGCAGACAAGTGGTAATATAACATACAACGGAGAAGAGCAAGACCAGTTTTGTATTCAAAGGGCTTCAGCATACATTAGCCAAGTTGATAATCACACAGGAGAGTTAACAGTGAGAGAAACTTTTGATTTTGCAAATCGGTGTCAAGGTTCAAGTGATGCAGGTACAAATTCAATGTTTCCTTTATGAGGTAAATAATTTATTTAATTTAAGTTCAATTTCTCAACACAGTTAAATTACTTAATTTCTTTATCAGAGTTATTGAAAACGCTTGAAAGCTTAGAAAAGGAAAAAAAGGTGCTGCCAAGTCCAGAGATTGATGCATTTATGAAGGTTGGTTTCAAATGTATGAAGATTATTCATACTTCGTCAATCCTAAAAATTATGTTTGTGAGTTTCTGAAATTGATTTTAATTCACAGGCAACATCTGTTGGTGGCAAAAGGCACAATGTAATGACCGATTATATTTTGAAAGTGCTTGGTCTTGATGTATGCGCTGATACTGTTGTTGGTAGTGATATGATAAGAGGGATATCCGGTGGCCAAAAGAAGAGAGTAACAACAGGTGCTTTCTCTATGCACAGTTGGCCGAACTTCGTTACCATATATCATCAGTTCGTTGTTTGTGGTTTTAGCATCTTTATTCTTTTGAACCGGCGGTGTTGGCCTAACATTTTTCATTTCATTTTATTTCTTCTAGGAGAAATGATTGTTGGACCAAGAAAAGCTTTGTTTATGGATGAAATATCAACTGGACTTGATAGCTCTACCACATTCCAGATAGTAAAATGCATAAGAAATTTTGTTCATCAAATGGAAGCTACTGTACTAATGGCTCTTCTTCAACCTGCACCAGAGACATTTGAGCTCTTTGATGATCTAATACTTTTATCAGATGGATATATAGTATATCAAGGCCCCATAGAAAATGTAGTAGAGTTTTTTGAATCATTAAGTTTCAAACTTCCACCGCGCAAGGGAGTTGCAGATTTTCTTCAAGAGGTATTTTTTAAATTCGTTTCTTTTTCTCTTTAACGGTCCTTTCGAATGATTTTCGAGGTTATTTTCTTAATTTGATATTTTCATATACCAGGTTACTTCTAAAAAAGATCAAGCACAATACTGGGCCGATTCTTCAAAGCCATATAAATTTATTTCAGTACCAGAGATTGCAGAAGCCTTCAAAAATTCAAAATTTGGAAAGTCTGTGGAAGCCATATATACGGCTACTTATGATAAATCGAAAAATCCTTCAACTTTGCCCAAATCAAATTTTGCTGTCTCGAGTTGGAATCTTTTCAAGGCTTGTTTGTCGCGAGAGTTGACCTTGCTCAATAGAAATAGATTTCTTTACATTTTCAGGACTTGTCAGGTACCCTATAAACTTTATTAACAATTATACTCATGCTCTTTCTTCTGTAAATAGTTTTGAATTCTTAATGTTTACAAGTAGAATTTGATAATTGACTAGTTTCTCATATTGTCAAAGGTTGCACTTGTTGGAGTTATCACATCCACAATGTTCCTACAAATAAAACATTATCCTAAGAACGAAGCAATTGGCATTCTCTACAATTCCGCGCTATTTTATGCACTCGTGCACATGTTGTTTAATGGAACTACCGAGCTGACTCTTTTGATAATTCGGCTCCCCGTCTTCTATTCACAAAGAGGAAATTTATTTTATCCAGCATGGGCCTGGACACTGTCCTCATGGCTTCTTCAAATACCTTATTCCATTGTTGAAGCTGTTGTGTGGACTTGTGTTGTATACTATAGTATTGGATTTGCTCCTTCGGTTGGGAGGTTTCTTACTTTACATTCGTATTTTATCATGTTTTTTTTCTTCTTTTCTTATTTTAAAACTAATATACTCTTCGCAATCCGATTATTATTTCAGATTCGGTCGCTACATGCTTTTGTTGTTCATGTTGCACCAAATGGCATTAGGTCTCTTCCGATTAATGGGTTCTCTTGGACGCGATATAGTCATTGGTAATACAGCAGGATCGGGAGTACTGATGATTTTATTCTTATTGGGAGGATTTATCGTCCCACTAGGTAGGTTGCACTGAAAACTATGGGACAAAATATCAAATTTTCGAAAGGTTGTTCATAATCTTGGTTGAATATGTCAGGAATGATTAAGCCATGGTGGACTTGGGCTTACTGGTTATCACCTCTTAATTATGCACAAAGAGCAGTTTCAGTCAATGAATTTACCGCCACAATATGGATGCTGGTACTTCATACATGCTAACTAAATTTAAGCTTTCTATATTGTAATATTTTGCTTATAGTTTATAGAAGATTGACGTACTTATGGAAATTGTATATTTTAGCCTTCGGCTACGGGGGAAGACACGGTTGGTCACAATATACTCAGGACATTCGATTTACCAATCCAAGATTACTGGTATTGGATTAGTATGGGAATTTTACTGTTCTACACAATCATTTTCAACCTCTTGAACACTTGGGCGCTAGCTAGCTTGAACCGTAAGTTTAGAACAATTTCTTTCTTCTTCATGACCACATTTTAATCAATGCATGTTCTTTTAGGGTATATGTAATAGTTGATATCCATGGATAATCAATTTCTCGAATCAAGGATACTTATCTTTATCGCTTATGCTCTCTTTATTTGCATGCCACAGCACTGAAAGAACCAAGAGCAATTCTTGAAAGTGAGGATGAAGACACGGAAAAGAGTCCTGATAGAGATGACAATGAATCAAAAAAAAGTTCCAAATCTACTAATGGAGAGAACAAAAACAAGGGAATGATTCTTCCGTTTCAACCATTGACAATGACATTCCACAATGTTAATTATTACGTTGATATGCCAAAGGTGAATGAAGTTTGCGAAAATATGAACGCAAGAAACTAGAACGAGTTGATTGTTTTTGTTCAATTTACTATTTCTAAATTAACTTGTTTTTTTTTCTTCAGGCTATAAGACAACAAGGTGTAACAGAAACTAAGTTGAAGCTTTTGGCAAATGTGAGTGGTGTTTTTGCCCCTGGTGTACTTACAGCGTTAATGGGATCAAGTGGAGCTGGGAAAACGACTTTAATGGATGTACTTGCAGGAAGAAAAACCGGAGGTTATATCGAGGGCGATATTAAAATATCTGGTTATCCAAAAGTGCAACACACATTTGCAAGAATATCGGGATATGTTGAACAAAATGACATACATTCTCCCGAAATGACAGTTCAGGAATCTCTCTGGTTTTCCGCATCACTTAGGCTTCCGAAGGATGTAACCAAAGAAAAAAAGCTAGTAAGTTCCTACACGAGACATGTTAACTTCTGATTAATTATGGAAGAGACCAAATTAACTGACAAAAGACTTGTTTTGAAGGAATTTGTCGAACAGGTCATGAGACTAGTAGAGCTTGAGAGTTTAAGAAATGCTATAGTTGGAATGCCTGGCACTTCTGGCTTATCAACCGAGCAGAGGAAGAGATTGACGATTGCAGTGGAGCTTGTAGCAAACCCTTCAATAATTTTCATGGACGAACCTACATCCGGACTTGATGCACGTGCAGCTGCCATTGTTATGAGAACTGTTCGCAATACGGTTGATACTGGAAGAACTGTGGTTTGTACCATACATCAGCCAAGTATCGACATATTTGAAGCATTTGACGAGGTTTGTTGTTTGGTGTTATTGAACTATTTTCTAATCAATTTAGTATTGTTATAAATGATAACTAGTAGCTTTAGTTATTTTTTCGCAGTTACTTCTTATGAAACGTGGAGGACAAGTTATATATGGGGGGAAGATCGGTAATCAATCAAGCGTGATGATAAGTTATTTTCAGGTGACACTTTCTTTTAATTATTTCTTGTATAACTTTTTTCGTTCTCATTTTCTATGTGTAAGGATCATAATGTTAAGGTAGAAACGATGCTCGTGGAATTTAAGCTAATGTTCTTTCGATAATGTTTTGATATTATGAAACTCCTTTTCGATGTTTTACGCAGAGTATGAACGGAATCTCCCCAATTTCCAGTGGCTACAATCCAGCTACTTGGATGCTTGAGGTTACAACACCTGCTACTGAAGAGAAAATGGGTGTAGATTTTGCCGATGTTTACGACAAATCCGACCAATTCAAGTAACCTTAATTATTTTATGAATAACAGACAATTGAATAAAGTTTCGCATGAGAATAACATCTACGTCACATTCTTTTCTCAGGTCCGTGGAATCTGCTATAAAACAATATGAAGAACCTTCTCCTGGTTCACAACCATTGAAGTTTGACACATTATATTCACAAAATACATGGTCACAATTTGTCTTGTGTTTATGGAAGCAGAGAATTTTGTACTGGAGAAATCCACCATACAATGCAATAAGGATGATCTTTACGATACTAGCCGCTTTGATGTTAGGTTCAATATTTTGGCAGGTCGGCGCAAAAAGGTATGAATCATTTATGATCTCATTGTCATAAGAAAAAGACACCACAAAAGTAGTGATAACAACCATGTCATTGATATTCTACAGGGAAACAACTCAACAAGTGTTGGTAATTATGGGCGCGTTGTTTTCTTCATTACTGTTCCTCGGGGTGAAAAACGCAGCTTCTATACAACCAGTTGTTTCAACCGAAAGAACAGTTTTTTATCGAGAGAGAGCCGCTGGAATGTACTCTCCGGTTGCTTTTGCAGTAGCACAGGTATAATATAGTTACTATTGTCATTCAATGCACTGAAAAGTGGTTTTACATATTAGAGTGTGTATGTCATGGTTACTTAATCTCATTATAGGGGCTGGTGGAAATTCCATATCAAATTTTTCAGACAATATTATTTGGTGTAGTTACATATTTCATGATGGGTTTCGACAATAATCTTCGTAAGATCTCCATTTTTTTCCATTGAAGTGCTTCCTTCGTCATGATTTCGGAACCACCTAAAATCATTTTTTCCCTCTCTAATGCAGGAAAGTTTGTACTATATCTCGTGTTCATGTTCCTGACATTTACCTATTTCACGTTCTACGGCATCATGTGTGTTGGTCTTACACCTACCCTACATTTGGCAGCCGTTACTTCTTCTGCATTTTACTCTCTATGGAATCTTGTCGCAGGTTTCCTCATTCCAAGAGTGGTGAGTAAATAAATTCACAAAACAATACAATACAAAAATCCTCTGCAACTGATGCATGATGCATAGACCGCAGAGACCATTAGTTTTTTTCGCTAGAACTTTTAACAGTCTCCGCGATCTTTGCACCATGCAGACGCAGAGGATTAATATTTAAACTTATCAAATCATTTCTTTTTTGGACCTTAATACCAACGAGTCGTCTTGCAATGTTTCAGTACATTCCTAAATATTGGCTCTGGTTTCATTATCTCTGCCCGGTTTCATGGACACTACGCGGAGTTATAACATCTCAGTTCGGTGACGTGCAAGACGTAATTGTAGGGCCAGGATTTAAGGGCACTGTGAAAGAGTATATAGCTGTTTCTCTTGGGTATGACGATACAATTAATGGAGTTTCAGCTGTAGGGATGTCAGCAATTGTGCTTGTTCTCTTCACCATATTCTTCTTTGGTACCTTTGCTATATCAGTTAAAATATTGAATTTCCAAACTAGATGATTGAAGAATGTAGTTATAGATATTATAAGAAGAGAAGATATACTACAATTGATGTGACTCTGATGGATGAGTGGAATGTTGTATTGTCATAATGTATTTCTTCTAACACTTTCTTACTATCCAAACATTCTGGATAAGGTATCAGAGAATGCAACTCGAGACTGTCATAACACAAAGCGTCCACTACTGTAACCGATTTATGCTTAATCATTGATCTTCAACTCAAAATTCTCTAGATTATCAATGATTTTGTGAAATTTTGTCAACTATTATGCTATGGATTTTTTTCTACCATTAAAGACAAGCATTTGTTTTTTAGACACAATCTTTGAGCTAATGATTTGATAATATATAATGATTTAAGTTTTTTCTACATTGATGTCAGGGTCTTCTCCCTGACGACTTCACTTAAAACTTTATCTCTGACACATAAGATAATGACACTTTTGACTTATTCATTATTTCGGTCTTGTTTACTTCTTTTAGACACGCATGCATTAATGTCTCATTCTTAAATATTTTAATACATTTCTTAAATTAAGATTGCTTGCAACTTCACTATCCATAATTCAAAATCATTGTTTTCAGAAAACATCTTGATATGTCATTTAGAACTCATGGTGTTCACTTGTAAACAAAATTTTATTTTTCTCACAGTTGGCACCACTTATTATGAAATTAAAAGGTTCAAACATACAAAGAAAATTGATGTGTGGGGATAAAAAGCAATGACAACACAAATAAATGGTTTTCAATAAAAAAAAAATCTGTGTGCAATAAGACATCAAATTAACTTGGTAGAAGAAGATAAAAGACAAGAAATACACTAATTTATTTACTCAATTTGATCAAACGATCTACTCTGAGGGAGAAAACATCTCTCTAATTCACTATAATTTCAAAAGTTGTTACAAAAGATTATAAATGACTTATAAGAAAATAGTCACAAATGTTTCAAAAAAAAAATCATACTTTCTACAACCCCAAGTGTTTTCCAATCTCTTTAACTCTCTTTATATGAATCACACAAGATCAAACTGTTTAGAAGTGTTTCTCAATCACTTTAGATACCCCTAAAATTTCCCTTTAACATTTACTTATCTAAGTTTTTTCTTAATAGAATTGTCATCTCTTCCATCTATTTTAAACTGTAAAGTTCTGGAGGTCTTAAAGATAAAAATAATAGAGATACATATTAATAACTAACTACTAAAATCCAAAGAATCCATAACAAGCCCAAGACATAACTCATTAACAAACGGATCCACTTACCAAAACAAAAAAGCCTAATACACATGAATCGGGCAAACTTCACTGATATTCGATAGAATGAACTGTCTGCCAGACCCAGACCCGGACCCACTGTTGTGTGGCTGCCACCGCCTCCACCTCCAGGTTGATTTCTAATTTCTACAATCTCAAAACATGTTTTCTTTCTTTTCATTATGTAATGTTTTAAGTCATACTTCAACAATATCCACCTTAATTTGAAACTACGGTGATATTAATTTACCCATCAACCATTTTATTTATACCAATTTAATATTTATTGAATAATTTTTATCAAATACAAACCTTTCTTGAACCTTATATTTCCACTTCCACTCACATGCTTCTAACCACCTTGTTCTATTTTAGTAGCCTAATAATTCCACAAATATGATTTTTCATGTGAAACTTGGACTATTAATTGAATTAATAGCTTGTCCATTAGAAGAAACCATATTGTTGCTGCTCAAATATGTTGATTAGCTAAATGCCTAACACCTAACCATCAATGTAGAGCTCCTCCCAATACTTTTTTATTTTCCACAAACACAAAAGGGAGATTCAATTTTTTTTTACAAATTAACCGATAAACACATAAACTTCCCATAAAATTATAAAATGATGTAATTGAATTTTCAAATAATAAACCAGGTCTATGCACAGACCAATAAAGAGCAAGCTCGTTTTAAAACTCATTTTTTTTATAAAAAATAATTTAAATCAATCAATCAAAAACTCAAATTAATTTGTCTTAATCCTTTTTATTCACATTTAACATATGTTTTTATAATCAATTCAACAAAATCATTTTTCCCATTCAATTTATTTTTACACAATCAATGAACAACTTCTTTTATTTGTATTACCACAACAAATATTTTGTATCTCATAACTACTTGGCTTTGAACTATCCGTCGCATTAGAAACTTTAGTCAAACACAATAATAAAAATTCTTTATTTATTTTTTCTTTAGTCTTTTTTTAATACATTTTCACTTCAAAATAAAATATAAAAAAAACCTTTTAATTTTTATTTTTATTTTAATTCATTTTTTATAATAAATAAAAAATTAAAATATAACAAAGTTAATAATATTTTTTTTATAATTAACTAAAAATAACTATTTTTCTAAATGAATATCGTATGGTTCTAATATCTTCTCTATGCATAATAGAATTTCAAATCTAAAATTTAGTTTCAAAAACCATCTTTTCATTTTAAAATAGTTTCATCAATATTTTCCCGATTTTAAATAAACTGTGATGGTGATAAAAACGTTGAACTGAACGGAACAAGGAGCTTAAAAAATCTAAATAAGAAAGAGTTACAAGTGTGACGTAACTGGCTACAACTTAATTGTTATAATTAGTTAAGTTTGTTAGTAACCGTTCGAAAGTGTTATAAACAGTTATAACTTAGTTGTTATGATTAGTTAAGTTTGTTATGCTTTCTCTATTTGTATAAGGGAAATGCTAACCAGTGCTCTCCGGACACTTTTTAAAAATTTAAATAGTAAGTTTTTATAAAAGTATGTGCAATAATGTGTAATAATGTGCATTGAAAATTGAAGTGTTTGAATTTTTAAAAAAATAATTTCTTAATATGGAATATTTAAATAGTGCCCTGAGAGCACTGGTTAGCAAGACCCTTTGTATAAATACCCTTAAGTCCCTTTTACACATGCATTATAATTTATTCAATAAACATATATCTCTACCGAATTTTCTTTAGTCTTTAAAAAATTTAAAAGTCAAATTATCCCAACAATACTCTTAAGTATTTATATTCTCTCTCCTATCAATTCTGTAAATTATTTTTCTCATATAATTAATGAAGAACAAATTTTAAAATCTTTTACAATTTTTCTTTCATACAATAATAATGACATTCTACTACATGTCAAAATATCAAAACAACTTATATTAAAAAAAACAAATAGAGGTATCAAATAGGTGTATCTAATAAATAGATGTCCATGAATCACTACTCAACTTTTTTAATGTCATTGACCCACAATTTAAAAACATTTCACTTTTATAGTTTTAGCCAAAAGAAAAGACAAAAATCAACTACCTATGTGCTGTACCTTGAATTAAAAAACATGCACGTGTATAAAATTTAGAGTTGTAAACAATTTGTTGAAATTAAAGTGATTATCAAAATATTATATTCTTTGCCAATGCATAGAGAAGACAAAGCCATGCTCCCATTTGTGGCCATAAACAAGTAACACACAAGATGTGCAAAAGAAGTTATATACATTATTAAATAAGATGATTACATCTATATATAAAACAAACAACAATAAAGGGAAATTTTAACAAGCACATGCAAACAACTCATTGCCACTAATTTGTTAAAGAGAAAAAAAAACCTATTTTGTGGTGCTCAATAAATTTCTAACACCAAACACTTCAAATTAAGGAATCACCTTCTCATCTCTCATACAATCAATCCAATACAATATTGAATTCAATGTCTTGTACCTTACACCAAAACCATACTCATCAACTTTATCTCTACTCCCCATAAGCTTAAAAGGGAATCTAAATAAAGCATCTAAAAATTCCCAATTGACTAAATTTTCAACTTTTGTTTTCACCAACTCATTTTCCTCCACAATCTCTTCCCAAACTTGTTCCTTCTCAATCATAGCTTTAGAATACCAAAAATTTCCATCAAACATTTCTTGAGGGACTATGACTCCTAACTTTTTCCCAACAATTGGCCAAATTTCTTTCCAAGTGAAACTCGAGCCATTGATTGAATTAAAAGCTTGTCCGTTAGTAGAAACCATAACATTTTTTGTAGCTGACCAAATATGTTGATCAGCTACGAGCCTAACATCTGAGCCATCAATGTAAGGCTCCTCCCAACATTTTTTTGTTCCGCCAAACAGAAAAGGGAGATTCAACTTTTTACAAATAGACCCGTAAACACATAAACTAGCCATAAAATTATAAAATGACCTAATTGAATTTCCAAATAATAAACCAGGCCTATGCACTGACCAATAAATCTTACCATTCAATTTCTCCATAAGCAAATCCTCTAATGCATAGTAGAAATTATGGGTTCTACTCATCCTTGGAAACTCTTCATTGTAATAATACAATTTCTTTTGTTCATCAAAAGGGGTTTCAAGGGATACATAGTGCTTTGTACCTGTTTGAAGTGAAACATGTTTTAGATTCTTTGCATTTGAGAGCAAAGAATCCAAAGCATTTGACATCATAGCTTTGTTTTGGTCATAACTTTCTTGTGTGTCTAGTGGAAATTCACTAGCCCATGTGACCCAAAACACATGAGTTACATCTTGTAATAAAGATAACTTTTTTTGAGTCTCCAAAGGGTTAAGCAAATCACAAGAAATGAATTTGTAATAAGGGCTCAAAAGGGTGTTTGGTAGTGTGTCTTGATTTCTAGCTATGCCATAAACTTTCCAACAAGATTGGAAAATTAGTTTCTTGGCTAACTCTCTCCCAACAAGTCCTGTGACACCAAAGATTATGGCAACACTTTTTTTCTCCTTTGTAGCTGCCATTTTTTTCTATCTATGGATGATATTATGATGATGAGTGATGAACCATTTTTATAGGAATGAATAGGGTGCTTCATTATTTGTATTTAAAGTTTGGTGTTAATTACAATAATATTGTGGACTTTTTCTCTTGTAAAATTTGACTATTAATGCTCTTCTTTTGAGGAGTGTTTCTGGGCTGGCATAGTTATATGTAGCATGAAACTTATGGTTGAAGTTTAAAATTCCAAGTAGGAGAGATGCTAGTTGTTGGCAAAATAAGAGACATGAGTGTGTTATTTTATTGAGTTCTATAAAGATGGTTACAAATATGTACTTTATGATTGAGTTATAAAATTTGACTTGATTAACTAAAACCACTACTAGTATGTTATTGGAGATAATTGGAGGCAATAGATGGAGTTTTGAGTTCCAAACTCAACCGGCAGCATGTGCCATTGGCCGTTGCAATGTTGGTGTTGCGGTTACAACTAACTACAAGCAACCTATTTATATGTGTTATTTTATTTATAGGTTCACTATGTATTCATGATTGTGAAGTCAACATCTCCTAGGGGCCCGTTGAGCATTAAAGTGTACTAGTATTTCTTCTAATAGAAATTTGAACTTTGACTAATCATAAGTGTAGGACTAACTCATCCCTTTAGAATGTGCTCATTCCTAGTTGCACATGCAAGGTTAAGTTTTTTCTAATTTAATAGTTTTGGTTAGGAGAGCTAATGTTTGTCTATAAATATTAAAATTTTAAATATGTTTAAGACATATAGTTAATCAAAAAAAGATATTTTTGTTGATAAAATTAAATATTGAATCAAATTAAGAAAATAATGGAGAAGAAAGCAGGATGATATTTTATATTTTTTAAAGAAATTGATGTATCTATACATGAATTTAAGGGGAGATATTTCTCCTTTAAAGTTTTGTCGAGGAGAATCTAATGGGAATATATTTTGCCTCGTTAGAAATTTTATTGGAAAATTTTCATTGGGATAAAAACCTTAATAAAAGAAAAAGAGTACAACATTATGCTCCTCGTCAACCAAATACATATAGTTCTTCTTTGAAGTTGACGCATTCCAATATTTTGTACATGCTTCTTGAAAATTGATGTAGGGAGTATCTTTGTGAAGAGATCATCCATATTATCACTCAAACAAATATATTGAATATCAACCTCTTTACTTCTTTGAGTTATTGAGTGAATGAGAAGAACTATGGAGGAATATGTTTGATTTTATCACTTTGATGTAACCTTCTTTCATTTGGGTAACACATGCAACATTGTATATACAAAATTGTTAGATTCTCATCCGTTGGTAAATCAGACGCTCCTTGGATATGTCGAGTCATTGATTTTAACCATCTACGCACTTTACTTGCTTCAAGAAAGGCAAATACTTTAGGATGATTTGAAGAAGTTCCTACAAGTATTTGTTTTTGAGATCTTCATGATATTGCAATGTCACCATATATAAACACATATCTAGTCTGTGATTTAGCATTATGTGAACTTGACAAATATCTGACATCTGAATAACCAAGCAAAACTGATTTTATATTGTTAGAATAAAACAAACCAAAATCAGATGTACCTCTGAGATATCGAAATATATGTCTTATTCTTTTCCAGCGTCTCTTTGTAGGACATGAATTGAAACTTGCTAGTAAGTTCACTGCAAAAACTATATTAGGTTTTGTACAGTTAAGAAGGTACATGAGTGTTCCAATGGCACTAAGGTATGATACTTCAGAGCCAAGATCCCTTTCATTATCTTCTTTAGGCCTAAATTGATCCTTTTTAACATTAAGTATTCTACCCATCATTGGAGCATTCAAAGGATTCGTTTTGTCCATGTTAAACCTTTTCAACACTCTTTATGTATAAATTGATTGATGTGCCAATATACCATCTTTAGTATACTCAATTTGTAAACCAAGGCAGAACCTGATTTTTCTCAAATCTTTCATTTCAAATTATTTTTTTTAAGTAATATCTTGCTTGCTTAATTTCTCTATTAATTTCAGTGATATTTAAATCATCATCATAAACGAAAATTATTACAAAACCATGTATTTTTTTCTTATAAAAACACAAGGGCAAAAAAGATTATTATCATAGCCTTTTTTAAGCAAATATTCACTTAATATATTATACCACATGCATTCAAATTATTTTAACCCATACAATGATCTTTGTAACATAATTGCATACATTTATCTAGGTTTTGATGTCTCAAGCATCTTAAATCCTTATGAAATTTCTGTGCATATATCAATATCAAGTGATTCATAGAAATAAGTAGTAGCAACATCCATAAGATACATATCAAAATTTTTAAGTACTAATAAATCAATTAGATAACAAAAAGTAATGGAATCCATAACAGTACAATATGTTACCTCATAATCAATTCATGATCTTTGGTAAAAACTTTGTGCAACAAAACTAGCTTTGTATTTGACAATCTCGTTTTTCTCATTTTATTTTCTTACAAAGATCCACTTATATCTAATAGGTTTTACACATTTAGATATAGCCATAATATGACTAAATACTTTTTGAATTTTAAGAGAATTTGACTTAGCATCTATTGCATCCTTCCAATTTTTTCAATCATGTCTATTTTGACATTCATTCATAGTTACGAATTTGTGATCATCGTTTTCATTCATAATTTCACATGCAATGGAAAATGAAAATATTTCATCTATATTCATACCTTCTCGATTTCACAAATTTCACGTATTAACATAATTGATTGAAATCTCGAGATCATTCTTGCTTTTCAGTTTCATTATCAATTATCTAATTATCATCATCTTGTGCTTCTTCGAGTATATGTTTTTCATTTTTTGATTTATCATTCTCTAGAGTCTTTTCAGGATCACTTTCAATCATATTTACTTTTTCGGTTCCTTTTTTTGGGGCATTTTTGTCTTTGGATCCCATAGGTTGGTCACACTTCAAGTGTGCCTTAGATGTACTTAATACATCCTTTAGCTTCAAAATCTCAATTCGAGCTAGGACATTTACAGCTGGTACAAATGGTTTTGTTAGTCTTTTCAACTCAGTAAATGAATTTGGAAGTTTATTTGCTAAATTTTGTAAATGTACTACTTTATTTACATTTTCTTTCCATCATTTATTATATGGGTCCAAATTTAATAAATATGGTACATACCGTGTTATCTTATTTTTCAATTCATTATTTTCTCCCTCTAGTGTTGGAAATTTTGTTTCGTCAAAATGAAAATCAGCAAATCTTGCCTGAAAAACATCACATGTTAAAGATTCAATATATCTAATAATAGATGGTAATTCATACCCCACATATATTCCCAACCTCCTTTGAGGTCTCATCTTTATCATTTAAGGTTGAGCTATTGGAACATATATTGCACGACCAAAAATATTTAAATCGGAAATATTTGGTTCTTTACCAATTGTAAGTTGATAAGGAGTATGTTTAAGATCAGCACTTGGCCTTAGATGAATGAGTGCTACAACATATAAAATTGCATGACCCCAAATAGTAGCTGGTAGTTTAGTTCTCATTATTAACATCCTAGTAATATATTGAAGATTTTTCATTAATGACTCAGCTAAACCATTTTGTGTATGAACATGAGGAACATGATGTTCAACAACAATTATAATTGACATGCAACAATTATTAAATGATTTAGATATAAATTCACCAGCACGATCATGTATAATCTTCTTTATAGTATAACCAGGAAATTGATCCCTTAGTTTAATCATTAATGCAAGAAATTGATCCTTTAGTTTAATCATTAAAGCAAGAAATTTTGAAATTTTCATATCACAACTTGATAGTAAACATACATATGACCATCTGCTAAATGCATCAATTAATACCATAAAATACCTGAGCAATCCTAACGGTGGATGGATAGGTCCACATACACCGCCTTTAATTCTTTCAAGAAATGTAGGTGATTTCGTCTGAATCTTTCTTGGTGAATTCTTTGTTATTAGTTTTCCAAAAGAATAAGCTACACATGGTCTACCTTATTTTGTAAGTTATAAACCTTTCAATGTATGACAATAAGTACTTTCAACTATTTACGCATTATTATTGAACCAGGGTGGCCTAAATGGTCATGCCAAAAAGTCATAGTTTTAGGATCTTCTTTTATTACTAAATTCAATTCAATTTCACGTAAATATGTATAATGTAATCTAGAATGTAATTTTGGCAAATTTTCTAAAGTTTTCTTCTTTCCCAAAACATTAGTAGTAATATTAATGTATTTCAAATTACCTTAAGACGCAGTTTTAGTATCATATCCATAACAATATATGTCATTAGAACTCAACAAATTTCTCTTTGATTTTGGAAAGTATAAAAAATTATTAATGACAAACATTGTCTCATTTGGTAAAATGAATATAGTATTACATGTTTCTTCAATCAAATATGCAGGACCTGAGATTTTATTTATTACACCTTCATTGGAATTTATTTCAGTAAAATATTTTTTACTCTTAAGGATCGTGTGGGTAGTTCCACTGTCTGGAACACAAATGTCTTTGACATGTTCAATGTCTAACCTTTTTAAAATAGAAATAGAATTAAAGATGTAGTAAATCAGAATACTCCAAAAATTCCCTCATTCTATATTGTTTTTGAAACTATACCTGGGATGTATGCAAGGTTGAAAATGTTTTTTCCAATTTTTCTTCTTCAGTTATAATTGTCACAAAATTCTAACTATTCTATAATTTGGTGCGTTTCAGAGTTATATGCAACAACATATTTATAATATTGGAACCTTAATTTGTTCTACTAATCTATCAATGAGGGCAATGCAGTTTTTCTATGATATACAAATCTTGCCTTAAGTTTGTCCCATATCTTGGGATCTTTTGAATTCGAGTATTTTGTTTGTAATTTATCATCAAGGAGGTGTTTGCTTATCCGATTTACTTTTTACTTTTCCATTGCCATTTCTTCTGGGTCAACTATCGACTTTTTCGA